TTTGTAGACCCAGATGGTGCTTAACTTCTGAAATATTTGGTGATCTTGTCTGAAGTGTAACCTTGGTTGGGGGGGGGGGGGGGGAGGGTAATAAAGTCGCTGCTGTCAGTGTTTGTGCTGATCTGCTGCTCCTGTGACTGTCTCAGAACAGGGTGCCTCTTAAACTCTGCTTCCTCTGCAGGTAAATGGGGTGGAATTAGCACTTTTCCTGGGAGACTGACTGACTTACAGACGCCCTGCCGGGCAGAGGGTCTGCATCCTTGAGGTAGTCACCTTTCCCTGACAGGGTGTGAATTACAGCTCTTTGCTGCCTCTCGTGCTTGGGCTTCTGGATCTGGTCCACACCTTTGGGTTCAGTGCAGCTATTAAGCACATTCAACCTGAATTTGGGAATAGCAGTGGGATGACTCAAACCACACTTCTCAGTGAGCACACTGCTCCTAAAGCTCCTCGCTCTGCTGTACTTAAATACAAATCCTCCTTTTTATTTCTGTTTGGTGTCTCAGCCAAGAGATTGAGGCTGTTCAGGGCAAGGTGTCAGTTTGTGCCAGGCAATGTTGGAGTGAACGTGATTGCATTGTATGACCACAAAAAGTTCCTGTAGTTTTCCAAATAAAAGTGGCGGTTGTTTCCCAACTTCTCATCATGAATGGTGGTGCCTGTACCTGCTTCTGTTGTAACAAGTGATGCTTGTACTACAGAGTCTCTCACGAGAGAGAATGAAGTTTGTTCTGCCCTTGCAATCCATAACATGGTAAGAGAAGTGGTTTTTATTGCACTTTGTTTTTGTGGCCATGGGCATGTTTTCCATTTCAACTTCTAGGACTTCACCCATGTCTCTGTTGTTGTCTGAGACTCTCTAACACCCTGCAAGGAAACCAGGAGATGACCAGAGTTGCAGCTATCTGAGGAATGAAGCAGAGTGGTGGGAGCAGAGTTTCACTTCAAGTAGACATTTATTTTGAAACTGAATTTAAAACTTTCGCGTTATACTTGAATTGATAAAATAGTATAGAAGTTCGAATATTTAAAGGATTTAATTAAAATAAAACCTCTTTTGGCATCATGAGCATGCATTTATCACCTCTTAGGTCAAGAGGTTTATCTGTATCTCCCCAATGTCAGCCAGTGCCGAAACATGCCCTGAAGTGCATGCTGACCCTGATGTTATTCACTGCTCATATTTGGAGCCCTGGTTAACATTACATCTCTGCCCTTTAGCAGCTGGTACTTGTCCTCTCCTGGGATTTCAGGGATGCATCCTGGAGACGCATCACTGATGGTTTCCAGCTCCCTGGTGGGGGTGATGAAGAAGGTTTGGTAAATGAAACCCCTCAATGGTGACCTTGTCCACAAGAGGACTTTCTGGCACAGAGTAACCGGGGGAGCCGCCAGGTATGAGTGATCCTATGTGTGATGGTGCAGGAAAGGCTGCAGTGGCATAAGGAAGGCGGTGATGTAAAACAAAAACAAAAAAAGACCTCTCCTTGTTTTTAAAACAATTGAATCATTGTCATTTTCTAAATTAGAGGTGGTGTGGAGCACAGGCTGTTCTTGAGGGATTACTGAACTTGGTCAGGATTTGGAGTGGAAACACGTGCAAGATTACCTTCTAAAAACTCTGTGGTTAAGCAGTGGTTTTGTTTCTATTTCAAGAGCTATAATCTCCGACTATGGGGACACTTTCTGAATTTGGGGTACTTTGGCTCACCGTGCAGATGTGCAGGCTTGTGCTCTACTGCTGCAGCGCGTGCCAGAAATCACAGAATCACAGAACAGCTTGGGTTGAAAGGGTCCTCAGAGTTCATCCAGCCCCAGCCCCTGCCATGAGCAATGCCACCCAGCAGCTCAGGCTGCCCAGGGCTCCATCCAACCTGCCCTTGAGTTCCCCCAGGGATGGGTCACCCACAGCTTCTCTGGGCAGCCTGGTTGTGTAGGTGGCTGTTCCATCCAGGTAAGCCAACAAAGCCAAGGCCTCTAAATTTCAAGGCTGCAAAAACATCTGTGTGACCTAGTTTGGATTTACCACTGAATTCATCTTTTCAGCACTATAAATAATTCAGCCCAAAGCCACGCAATGTTGATAAATAGGACAATAAACTTCATGCTGCAGTGGAGGCTACAAAGAGCAATGTGTTTTAATTGACTGTTGCACAGTGACTGGGAAAAGCAGAGAGGACTCGCTCAAAGCTCTGTATGCAAACAGCAACAAGTGCTTTGATGGCTTTGAAGTTTCCCCAAGTAATTCAGTCCTCACTGCATGAAGGAGATTCACATGATGTAGGGGTTTTGAAATAGAGCATCATTTGTGATCCCAAAATCCCTGTGCAAATTCATTTAACTTCATGGGATCACAGGGAAGATTCTATTTTATATCTGATGGCTGTCTTGGTCTGCTTCCATCATTCTGCTTCCACAAGAGGCAGGTAAAAACTGAAGGCAATAGTGAGGGGGAATTACAAATGAGCTGTGGGCTCAGGTCACTGTGCAACACCCCTCTGCCAACTGTAAGATGTTTCCCTTGCAGTGGGCACTAGAGTTGGCCACCAGCATTCCTGGTTTCAAGGAAAACACTTCCTGATCAGGAGGAGGAGGTTGAAGAGGCCTTCCATAAGCAACTGGAAGTAGCGTCACGATTCCAGGTGCTGGTGCTTATGGGGAACTTCAATTATCCAGATATTTGCTCGATAAGCATCATGGCCAGGCATGCGTGGTCCAGATGGTTCCTGCAATGTGTTGAAGGCAACTTTCTGATGCAGTGGTAAAGGAATCGACAAGGGGAAGGTTATTGCTGGACCTTATTCTCACTAATAGAGAAGGGCTTGTCAAGGAAGTAAAGGTCGGGGGCAGCTTAGGTTGTAGTGACCGCGAGATGGTGGAGTTCGAGATCTTGAGTGGAAGAAGTAAAGCAAAAAGTAGGATTGCTACCCTGGACTTTAGGAGAGCCAGTTTTGATCTCTTGTGGGACCTACTTGGAGCTATCCCGTGGGCTAGGGTGTTAGAAGGGAAGGGGGCCTGTGAGAGCTGGTTGGCATTTAAATAGCTCTTCTTCCAAGCTCAGGATCACTGTGTCCCTGTGAGGAAGAAATCGGGAAAGGGTGGCAGGAGACCTGCGTGGATGAGCAAGGAGCTCATGTGCAAACTCAAAGGGAAGAAGAAGGTCCATGAAATGTGGAAAAAGGGTCTGACCACTTGGGAAGAATACAGGAATGTTGTCAGGGCCTGCAGGGATGCGATGAGGAAGGCTAAAGCCCGCCTGGAATTAAATCTGGCAAAGGTGATAAAGGATAATAAAAAGGCTTTTTTAAGTACGTTAACAGTAAAAGGAAGACTAGGGAGAATGTGGCTCCCCTGCTAAGTGACGGAGGTGTTCTGGTAACGGGGGATGCTGAGAAGGCGGAGATACTGAATGCCTTCTTTGCTTCTGTCTTCAGTGAAAAAAGCTCCCCCTTGAAAATCCGAGACCCTGGAGATTAGTGAGAGAGTCTGGAGAATGGAAGACCTCCCTTCAGTCAGGGAAGAGGTGCTCCGAGGGCACCTAGGCAACACCAATGTTCACAAATCCATGGGACCCGATGGGATGCATCCACGGGTGCTGAGGGAGCTGGCAGAGGGGATTGCTGAACCGCTTTCTGTCATCTTTGAGAGGTCTTGGAGGACGGGGGAGGTGCCTTAAGTCTGGGGGATAGCCAGTGTCTCTCCAGTCTTCAAAAAGGGCAAGTAGGAAGATCCAGGCAATTACAGGTCAGTCAGCCTCACCTCTGTCCCTGGAAAGGTGATGGAACAGCTGGTGCTGGATGTCATCTCCAGACAACTGGAAGAAAAGGAGGTTATCAGGAGTAGTCAGCACGGGTTCACCAGGGGGAGGTCGTGCTTGACCAACCTGGTAGCCTTCTATGATGATGTCACTGGCAGGGTAGATGAGTGGAGAGCAGTGGATGTAGTCTACCTGGATTTCAGCAAGGCGTTTGATACTGTCGCCCATGACATCCTTATAACAAAGTTGAGGAAGTGTGGGAGAGAAGAGTGGACAGTGAGGTGGGTTGAGAAGTGGCTGACTGGCAGAGCACAGGGGATCATAGTTGGTGATGCAGAGTCTGGCTGGAGACCTGTAACCAGTGGTGTCCCTCAGGGGTTGGTGCTGGGTCCTGTCTTGTTCAACATCTTCATCAATGACATTGATGAGGGGATAGTGGCCACCCTCAGCAAGTTTGCTGATGATATGAAGTTGGGAGGATTGGCTGACATGCCTGAAGGCTGTATTGCCATTCAGCAAGACCTGGACAGGCTGGAGAGCTGGGCAGTAAGAAACCAGATGAGGTTTAACAAAAGCAAGTATAGAGTCTTGCATCTGGGGAGGAATAATTGCATGCACCAGTACAGCTTGGGGGATGAGCTGCTGGAGAGGGGCTCTGCAGAGAGGGACCTGGGTGTCCTGGTGGACAACAGGTTGGCCATGAGCCAGCAGTGTGCCCTTGTGGCCAAGAGGGCCAATGGCATCCTGGGGTGCATTAAAAAGAGCGTGGCCAGCTGGTCGAGGGAGGTGATCCTCCCCCTCTACTCTGCCCTGGTGAGGCCTCATCTGGAGCACTGCATCCAGTTCTGGGCTCCCCAGTACAAAAAGACAGGGATCTCTTGGAAAGAGTCCAGCGGAGGGCCACAAAGATGGTGAAGGGTCTGGAGCATCTCCCCTATGAAGAAAGGCTGAGTGAACTGGGTCTGTTCAGCCTTGAGAAAAGATGACTGAGAGGGGACCTGATCCAGGTCTACAAATATCTAAGGTATGGGGGGCAGAATGGCGAGGCCAGATTGTTTTCAGCAGTGTGTGGAGACAGGACAAGGGGAAACGGCTGGAAACTGCAGCATAGGAAGTTCCACACAAATGTGGGCAAGAACTTCTTTACAGGTGAGGTGACGGAGCACTGGAACAGGCTGCCCAGGGAGGTCGTGGAGTCTCCTTCTCTGGAGATGTTCAAGACCCACCTGGACACCTACCTGTGTGACCTGGTGTAGGGAACTTGCTTTGGCAGGGGGGTCAGACTCTATGATTGCTGGAGGTCCCTTCCAACACCTACAATTCTGTGATTCTGTCCTTCAGGCTCACAAGCAAGAAAGCAAGAGCAAGCCAGCAGAGTCTGGGAAGGGCAGCATATCACTAGGTCGCCATGCATGGCTGAGTGTGGAAAATAACAGGCACGCAGCATGGTTTTCTTTGGCATATGGGCAGAGGCACTGTGTTCCCGAGTCTGGAAAGAACTGGTTAAAGCTTCCTGGTTCACTGGAGCTGCAGTTGCAGCATCTGAATTATGTCCCATGTGTTATGACTTCCTGCTCTCGTGAATTAGGCTCAGATCTTTGAATTACCTTTATTCTTTTTTTGTGTGTGCTTATATTTAGTTTAATTTTTAATGGTCTGCTAGGCTTCTCTGCAGTTAGCTAATGCAATCTGGTTCAATAGGTTACTGTGCTACATCCTCATCTGATGCAGCTTTGCAGCTATGAGAAAGTGGGACCAGGGAACCTTTGTGCTTGGATTTGCACAGGGATTGTTCTGTGCTGTAGCAGCAGCAGAGCAGCAGCAGGCGTCTCTATTATTGTCACTGATTACATCCCATCATTGAGTCAAAGGGTGGCTAGTGGGATCAAGCTTATGGGCCTGGGATTTCAGCTTGGGGTTGGGGTGATGAGGATGTAACTGCGTAAGAGATACGGCCACATATTGGCTGCAGTGACAAAACAGGCTGCTCCAGACTGCATCTTGTGATTCCCATGGGGGCTGGGGTTGCTGAGTAGCCTGAAATCTGCTCTGCTTCAGCAGGATCTTGGCCAATGCTAAGGGAGGCATTATGGGGCATGATATGGGAGAAGGGGGAGATGGTTTGCTTATCATAGCCAATCTGGCTCTAATATATGGGTTTGGAAATGCATTGCCCTATTAAGGGCAAGCAAATGAGAGGGTACAGACTTATAAATACCCCAGAGATGCATGGGCAACCAGCCATGAGCTTCTGGAGTCAAGAAGATGCTGTTTAAATTATGCCAGCAGTCTTTGTCAGTACATAAACGTATGTCTAAAACCCTAACTTCAGCAGTAAGCACCAAAAGGGGTTAACCATAATAAAAATCTCTCTTGGCATTAAAACAACAACAACAAAAAAGTCTCTTCAGCATTGCCTTCAGCTTCATGTAGCAATACATCAGAGAAGGAGCATAAATCCAGCAGGCTAATGGGGACAAAGGGTCATGGGAGTAGACCTTGGCAGATAAGCTGATGCAGGGAAGCTGGTCAGTACCTGGGTGGGTAATATATCACTGGTGCTGCAGAGTAAGAGGCCATCTCTACTGCAGCTGAAATGGAAACCTTGCAGGAAGGGAGGTGGGGTTTTATGGGTGGTATTGGGGCAGGCTGATGTGGGGCAGAGGAGTGGTGGGCATGTGCAAGTGTAGGGACTGGAAAGGCAGTGTCTCTGTTTGTTCACTCAGGAGAGTGAATCTAATCCCTACAATCATCTTTTGATGTCAGCTAGAGTTGCTACATTCAGGATTATTTTTCCAACAATTTCTTCTCTTGAGAGGTAAGTCGTTGCCTTGAGAAGTAGGATCTGTTTGTCTTTGGTACAGGAGGCTATAGTATAAAAAGCCAAATCTGTGAAAGGCACCATAACTTGGTTGTTCTCCTTAACAAAGCAAACCAAAAAGGAGGTATCAAGGTATCCCAGCATAGCTGATGTGAGAAGGGCCCTCTGGGCTCATCTGCTCCAGCCTCTGTTCCAGCAAGCATACGAGAGCAGGGTGGCCAGGGCCATGTCCAGGCAGCTTTGGAAGATCTCCAAGGGGGAGACCTTACAGCCTATCTACCCTGTGTACATCTTCAACAGATGGTGCACGTTGGTCTGAGTATCTTGACTTTGATAATAAAGCCACTTTGACTCTCAAAGTAAGGGTAGCTCTTGCATTTATGGTTTCTCAAAAATGATGCTGCTATATGCTCTGCACAAGCACCACTGTAGACAAGTATGTCCAATAGGTTGATATTGATTGTAATCAGTTATTGATATTGTAGTCAGTTGTTATCATTTGTCATTGTCATTCCCCTCTCAAGGCTGGGTTGGATAGAACCCTGGGCAGCCTGAGCTGGTGGCTGGCAGCCTTGCCCATGGTAGGGGGTTGGAACTGGACGGTCTTTCAGGTCCATTCCAACCCAACCACTCTGTGATGTACATGGGGCTGTGCAGTAATTTAGTTAGGTGATTGCATCAAAACACTGCTTTAAAGTTAAATCTTGGGACTCCTGTGCTCCCCTTGCAGCAGTACGTGGTTGCCTGACAATCCCATAGCCACTCTCTGCCGATCTCTAGGGCTAAAAGTACTAGGCATGGTTTAGATCCCAATAGCTCAGGAAATGTGTCTTGGAGGCCCTGAGCAATGCTCTTGGGAGCTTTTTATTTCAGTGGGGTGGAGGCACAAGCACAGAGGCTGGAGAGCAGAGCAAGTCCTTGCAGACTGAAGAGTATTGGTCTTGGCAAGAGACTCGTAGGTTAGAAGCCATTGATAATTCACTTGCAAAGCAGTCCTTCAGCTCCAGTTGGACCACAGTGAGATGAGCTCTGTGCCTTTCTCTAGCAGATCCCCAGAGGAGGGCTGGTTTGAGCTGTTACTGAAACCTGTGAAAAACTTTCGCCTGAGCACTAAATTGGAAAATGAGCCCTCACAGCCCAAATCAAAGGAGGCTTTATAAGTGGGAAGGAGGCTGGGGAAGACCCTGGAGGGCTGTGGCTTCCTCCTTGCTCTCTGTTAGCATTGCCCAGTATGGCACGTATTCACGCAGCAGCAGAGAGGCTGCAGTGTGCCTTTTCCTCCCTCCTCCTCCCATCAGCGCCGCAGCTACACCCAGCAGCACAGCTTCCCGTAATAGCAGCTGTAACCTACCCTGTAAATCAGGCCTTGTAATTATGGGACCCAAGGTGGAACAGCAGGATGAATGCATTGGTCAGCAGTCAGCAAGTGTAAGAATGCTGAGGGGCCTCAGTGGGTGCTGGAAAACAGTTTGTACTGAAAGCCTGGTCATCCTGGTGGTTTGCCCTATTGGTGGTTTGTGCCTTTCTCCAATTATAGCTGAGAATCTGCTCCCTCCCTCTTGCCCTCCTCTGTTACCTTCCTGAAGGGCAGCCACCACTGCATGGTGAGCATGTCTCCTCACAGCACAGTTTGGAAATGAAAGCAGCTGGTTGGGTATCGATTTCCCTCTACATCTTCTGTGATCTACATTTGTAGAAGTGTCTTGACAAGGAACTTGGGCATTCTGCAGAGCTCTAGCATCACTCCCAAAAGTTCAAACTTTGTGCTCTCAGGCTTTCAGCCACTGATAAACAAAGCAACTATATGCTCCTCCTGGATGAGTGCTCTCTCCTGCAGTGAAATTGTTTGTTGCCATGGATATCACTTAGTTTAGAGAGACATGTAACCAAAATGGATTTAAACAGACCCTCATGGGTCAATATTTCCGTAGGAGCAAATGTGCATCTTGAGGCTTCCTAAATGTCTTCTGTTTGGGCTTGTTGCAATAAGCACAAACCTCCCAGAGCTTCAGCCAGGAGAAGTTATCCTCTAACCATCAGGAATGCATTTTGTATGTTATTTTTTCCCAAATCCACAAGGATACAGGATCACAGAAGCCTAAAAGATCAGGTAGAAGTTTCTCCGTTGTTTGTTCTTGATAATTTGAAACTACTTTTTCTTGCCAGTCTCTATTTTTATTTTTTTTTCTTTTTAGAAGTGCCTTTCAGTCTGGGGTTTCCATGATGTGTCGTATTGCAGCTCATAAATGGACTTGTGTTCTGGGCAAACAATAGTTGTTACTGTTTAACACAGATTTGATAAAATTTGCTAATGACCACTGCAGAAAACGGGCAGCTCAAGTGAAGTTTTTGGTTTCTACCCAGGAGCAAAACTCCCACTCCCTGCCCTGTGAATTTCATTAGGTGGAACTAATTAAAGCGATGTGTCTTATTTCTGAGATGAGCACTGGTCCAAGAGGAGTCCGGAGAGGTTTGTATGCTGCGACACAACTGCTCTGCTTTTAAATACCGCAAAAGCTTTGTGTCCTATTTAATTTGACATTCCTTGTGTTTGTTTCCCTTCATGACTCATAGCACAACACTGGCAGCGAGCCTAGGAAGTAGGTTATGGGATCTGGCGTGGGGACACTGGTGGATTGTATTCCAAGTGTTATGCTTACATTGCACCACCGGCCCTGAGAGCACCCAGCAAACTGTGTTTGTCCTGCCCTGAAGGCTGGTGCCTTCAGAAATTAGGTGAACAGCTGCAGCTGTGGTCTGAGGCAGCCTTGACTTTGCACTTATTTTGCATTATCCATTAGCCTGGATGACTGGGGGTACTGTGAGTGGCTTCACCTCAGCTCTTCAGCTCTTGGTGTCTCCTGTACAGAGCAGGAGCTCACATCTTCCCTTCTCCTGGCTCAGGATAAAAGATCATCATGCCATGTTTATGGACACCGAAGTGAAAATGCTAGCAGTATGTTTTGGGAAACACTGGGTAGTTCACCTAGGTTCTGGGGTGTTAGCTGATAGCTGGCTGAACATGAGCCAGTGGTGTGCCGAAGTGGCCAAGAGGACCGCTGGCGTCCTGGCTTGTATTAGAGAGAGTGCAAGCAGCAGAGAAATCATTGCCCCTCTGTTCTCAGTTCTGATGAGGCTGCACCTTGAGTACTGTGTTCAGTTTTGGGTCCCTCTCTACAGGAAAGACATTGATGCCTTGGAGTGTGTCCAGAGAAGGGCAATGAAACTGTGAAGGGTCTGGAATCAAAGCATGGGAAGTGGCTGAGGGAACTGGGATTGTTCAATCTGGAGAAGAGGAGGCTCATGAGTGACTTTGTCACTCTCTACAATGACTTCAAGGGAGGTTGTGGTAAGGTGGGAGTCAGCCTCTTCTCCCAGATAACAGCTATAGGATGAGTAGGAATGGCATCAAGTTGCACAAAGGGAGATTCAGGTGGATGTTAGGAAAAAAATTATTCTCTGAGTGAGTGGTAGTGAATTGGAAGAGGCTGCCCAGGGAGGTGGTGGAGCCACCATCCCTGGAGGTATTCAAGAACCACGTGGATGTGACACTGAGGGACATAGTTAGTGGGCATAATGGGAATGGGTTGACAGTTGGACTTGGTGATCTTTGTGGTCTTTTCCAACCTTAATGGTTCTGTGATTCATTGTTCTTAATTTGGTTTTCTGTAGGATGAAGACCTCGTAACAAAGCAAATGAACTTAGGACTGTCCTTTGGATTTGCATGGATATTTCACAAGAGGTTTCAGAAGCCTCAACAATACCAACATAAAATACAGCTGGACACTAAGCTACTTCAGAACTTGCTTCTTTACCTGACCCCTTTCTGTAGAAGCACCAGAGTCTGGTTGGTTTTTTTTTGTTGTTGTTGTTGATTTCTCCTTTTAGTAGACAGATAATTTTATTGCAGCTTGGTGACAGGAAGCTGATAATATTTGAGGTAAGTACAACAAGAATGCATCGTTTTCAAGAAGAAGGAAAAACATGCCCAAAAGATATTTGTACTTTCTACCATAATCGTATCACTGACTCCTCCTGTCACTTAGAACACTGTGTGCATAGGATGGCCATCCTGAGGCCAGCTCTCCTGTCACTGTGTAGCATTTCAGGCTGTGAAGCACAAGGGTTTCCTTGGGCATCCAATGCAGCCTGTACACGGCAACGCATCTCTGGAGCCACCTGAGTACATAGAAAAAAGTGAAATCAAGCAAGTCATCGACATATTACTTTGGTTTTTGCTTTTATGTTGCATTGCATATCAGGAACGATGAAGAAAGGTAGCACCATGCCACAAGCCAGCTGGAAACAGGCCCAAACCTGAACACACTCTCACGCTGTCTCTTCCTCTTTTTAAACTCTGGGTAAGATTTTACAACGCTTGTGAATCAGCTGTCCCTTTTGGAGAGGAGGAAATCTATGACAGGAGCCATGGCCAAGGCTGTCACAAGTGTCACAAGCATGAGTAGCCCTAACCCCCTCCTCCACCTACCCTGTTTCTCTATATGAAGTCAGTGAGTTTATCTAAATGATGATTGCTTATCTTCTTCCTCATTCTTCTCCCACAGGGAAAGAAGCTGTGTCACCAGGACGTGCATTAAAACATAAGTACACTTTGCTTTTCACGTTTTACCCAAGGTCAGAAGTACCCAACTGATTTCTGAGCTAGTGGTAGCAGCCTGTTGAAACTATAGCCCAAACCCAGCATTGCTCACTTGCCTGTAAGAAGGCACATGTGACAACAGCTTATGCTCTTCTGCTGGATGGTGTGGTTTAAAAATACATCTGCAAGAAGTAGTTACACCCAATAAGCCATTTTCACCACCTTAGCACAGTACTTAGGAATAAGAATAATTCCTACATTTCTGAGCCAGTAGATCCATCTGTATGCAGTCTCTTCACACCGTGTTAAGTCACACACATGTCTGTATGTGCATGCAATTTCAGTATGAGAACAGGCTCTGTAATAGTTTAGCTGTAAGCTCATAAGAAGCTCTGTCGCACCTGAAGGTATAATCCTTTGTTTGTGACATCCCAACAAGTTACTGCTGGAAAGGATTATGGCTCCATGTGAGAGATGAGCAGGACTGGTGGGACTTCAGAAGTTAAGAGGTGCTTTTTATCCATGCATTACAATCTTTAAGACACATCTATGAAAAATTAAAAAAAAATAAACTTGGGTGAAACTCTGCCTACAGGAAAGCCACTGGGTAAGTTTACTTCACGTACGTATTGCTGATGTCTTCTTTTATTTACACATTATTGCTAAAAAGAAATAGATAAGCCATGTGATTTTCAACGTAAGGAAAAATCTGAAATGACAAAAGGTGTGTGTGCTTTGATAAGGTAGAAGTAATGACGAGTGGTGTTCGTGCGGTGCTGTCTGTAGGCTAATAAGCCCTAGCAAGCTTTGCTTATTTGCTAAGGTATGGGTAAGGTGTGCTTGGTGGTATGGAGAGGAGGTGTCCTCCCTGTTGAGCTCTTCAGAAACCAAGTAGACGTGGCCCTGGGCACACTTCTCTGAGTGACCCTGCTGGAGCAGATGGGTCTGGAGGTCTGTGCCAACTTCAGCCATGTTGTGATTCTGTAAACCTGCCCCTTGGCTCAGGCAGGCACAGCCTAGCAGGACCGTGCTGGTATTTCTTGATGGTCCCGTGGACCCTTGGAGCATCTTTTAGTTTTTCTGGAAAGCACAGCCTGCTCCAGTGACCTGGCCCCGCTCACATCTTAAATCACAAATACAGACTTGACCTTGTGGCCTTTGTCCTCATGTGTTCACGCCTGAAGTGTTCAACTGTAACACTATACCTTCCCATAGAAATAGGGTAGGAGGAGATTTCTTGGAAACTGCTGGGACAGACACCAAAAATAAAAGGCATCTGAGCAACAAGTGGAGCTGCACAGCCATAGTTCTGCTCCTCTTTGTTTGTTTTTCTGGTTGGTGTTTTCATGTTATCTTTTTCAGTTCAGGATGTACGGGGGAGGCTATAAATATATTGAGACTCTACAAATGTTACTGTGGAAATGAATCTCTACTTTGTCCCTTTACTTGTGGCTGTGCACCAAGGTGTGTACCTGGGATTGGTGCCCATGAATGGAATCTTCTGCTGCTGGGCTGCTCCAGGAAGCCTCTTCCAGTGGTTTAGAGAAGGGTGAGCAGCAGTTTGACATTTTAAGGTTGATACTACCTATCTGACATAAGCGGAGACGCTGTGTAAAGGCTGGGGATATTTGTTCTAATTCAGGATTGTAACATCCTTGCCTCATTGTGATTTGCTTGGAACTTCCTGCGTGCCTGCGGCAATGAGTGGCTGGGGGAGAGAGATGGCTTGTTTTGAAACATGCAGTGAGGCATCATTACAAGGCCAAACTACTCCAAAATACTCAAGCCTGGGAAGACTCCAGCCCAGAGACCCTCCCACATGGCTGGAGGAAGAGCACACAGAAGTTTGCTTGTGCCGGTTTTACTGAGAATGCTACTTGTAGCTGTGAGCAAAACCACAAGATTAGTGATGAAATGCAACCTCTGCTGCTTTTCATGGCAGAGTGCTGTAGCGCTGGATGGTTTCAATTACAGTGCTGGGACCCAGATCTCCTCTGCAGTCACGCTGGGGATGATGCTTCCTGCGGATGCTGGGGAGCAGATGGTAAATTAAGCCCCTGCCCTCCAAAACCTGACACCCCAATTTTTTCTGAGGCTGGTGCACACTTGTGAACTCTGCTACTCTGAACTGACTCCAGAACATCCACTCCGCTTAGTTTCTGGCTAACAAAACGTTTCTGGTTTACAAGAGGCCATGGGCACAAATTGGAGCACAGGAGGTTCCTTCTGAACACCAGGAGCCCTTCTGTGCTGTGCAGTGATGGAGCACTGGCACAGGCTGCACAGAGGCTGTGGGGTCTTCTCCCTGGGGTTCTCCCAGAGCTGCCTGGATGTGGCCCTGGGCATCCTGCTCTGGGTGTCCCTGCTGGGGCACGGGATGGAGCGGAGGCACCCAGAGGGCCCTGCCAGCCTCAGCCATGCTGGGGTTCTGTGATTTATGAGTCTAGGGAGAACAAAACGAGTCAGAAAGGTGACTAAGCCCTCTGCTTGTTGCCTCTGAAGCTGGGAGCTGGTGCTACCAAGCAGTGTCTGTGTGCAATGTATTGCTAGTTGTGCAAAATATGTCAAGCTTTTTGGATTCAGGAGGGGAGGGCAAGGGAAGAAGATGGAGGTTTTGCTCCATTAATAGCTCTTCAGCTCAGTGGAACAGCCCAGGCAGTAAAATGAGGCTAAATGGAAAATTATAGGGTAAATTTGCCCTCATAATCACACACAGATAATTTGTTTCTTGAACAGAATTGACAGAATATAAACAAGTCTACGATGTGCCTCATTAATTGGAGATGTTTTTTCTAACAAGCCCCATGGAAATATGAAGTGGTTTCACTCTGCAATTTGTGATATAGTTTGCTATTAAATGCATTCAGTTTAATTGTGACAATGCGTCTCATTTTGGAAGCATTCACAGCCACTGTGTAAAAATAGCAGAGGACAGCAGAAACGGCTCCCAGCACAGATGTGCTCCTCCATTTGCTGCGTGCTATTGGAGCAGACAGGTGTGCGGGGTGGACCTAAGCTGCATAGCACAACAGCATGGAATGCCCCCAGAGGCATTTTTTGGGACAAGTGGCTTTCTTCTCCCAGTGGCACCACATGAAATAGGATGTCTGGTTTTGACTGCCCAGAGAGTCATGGTGCCCTGTCTGACCTTCATGCAGCTTGGGCTTTCCATCTGTAGTCACAGTGACAGATCCGTGCATCTCTGTGCACGCATACTGCCTAATATTAATCATGCCTGACCATTTTATGCACGAATCCCATGACCTCCCAACAATGAGATCATGCTGGGCTGCCATATATCAAACCATCCCATCAGCCCAATGTTGACTTTGGCCATAGGGAGTCTGAACAATGAAACAAAACCGTTTCTAACCTTGACATGCTGGAGCTTAAGACAGTAACTTAAAACATTTCTCCGTACTAGGGGGTATAAAACCTTCTCTTTAAATGTACTGTTTGTTCTAATCTGTGTGCTTTAGTGTGGACAGAGACCCACAAGAGAGTGAAGGCCAAAGGAGCATGATGAGCATGATAAGCTTGCCCAGTTCAGAGGTCTTTGTTTTGAAGATGAGATAGGGCTGCCACATCCCCAGCCATAAAAGACTTTTACTCGGCACAACCAAAATAGACCTGCACAGCAGCTGAATTATTCGGCTTATCTATCACACTTCACAGATATAGGCTTTCATAACTCTGAATATGAGCAAAAAGAGATTATCCAACCTTCTCAAAGTGCTCCACTCTCAGTGATGGCAGGAGGCATGCGGCCAAAAGAGCTGAACAGGAATGCGAGTTTGGGAGTGTGAAAATAGCCACTGGATATTTCAGCACAAGCCAGCACCTCTGCTTTGCCCTCAAGGCCATTGCTAGTGGTGTGTGATGGCTGTGCATGCCTGAAGCAGCTGCTGGATGTGAAGGAATCTGTGATACATGATGAATTTGTGGCTTTACACACTGCGGCGCAAAGGGCAACTCTCATTCATGGGGGAAACGGCAATGCACATTTAGCTGAGGGAAAAGGTGCCCAGAGGTCTTATCTGTATGAGTCAAGCATAGTCATGGTTTGGTGATGATCTGTGAACTCAGTGACATTTGGCAGCGGGAAGCTTCACCCACTCTGAATCCAGCCTTGGCACAGCAACCCGCTGAGCGGTCTCTTGACCGAGACCTTCCACACGCTTTCTCTGCACACGAGAGCAGCATGTCCTGCAGGACATCAGTGCAGTTTCACAGTACATATTTTTCAAGGACATGCACTGTGATGACACGTGTCATCCAGCATCATCTGTGCCTGAAAAAACACGGCCTTCAAGAGTAAACACTTGGCAGAAGCAACAGCACAGGCTCAAATTTAGACAGGAATAATTTACGCTATGCAGACCTGGCATGCTGGAAGGGGGCACGCTCTCTGGAAGGCAGAGAAGGAAATGTGTTGCTAATTTTGCTAGACAGCTTCTTCCCTCTGCTCATTTTCATTTTGTAGTTGCCAGACTTCCTAGTTCCTCCTAAAAGAGAAACATCTGAAGTTTGGCTTTGTTTAACTTCTGCTGGGGGAGGCAGAGGGATAAATCCCCCCATCCATCAGCCTCTTCTAGTAGCTCTGTTGGGAATCGCACCCCAGCTTGCCACCTGCCTCACTGTAGACTGGTGTACATTCAATTAACTCTCATTCTTTTCTTCTGCTCCAGTTTTAGGACTTCCCTACTGCCGTTCCACCACCTCCCTACTCATTCCTGATGCATCTCGAGCTCACTGAGAGGTATGGAGATGTTGACAGCCACCACAAATGGGACATTTCTTGGTGCCGCATGGGGCTGGATGGCACCGGGGCACCTGTATAAACTCAAAGAAGCAGGAGAAAGGGGTATTTCTACACCGTGGAGGCATATGTGATCCAGCTGGGCTCTCCTTGCATGTCAATGAGCCTGTTATTGTTGCTGTTTGTTTGCACTTAATCTCTCCACATGGTATTAGCCTGAAGAGGCACTGCTCCCTCATGTTGCCATGCTACTGAGCTCAATGAGTTGACTGCGAGGCGGGGCCAGGCTGTGCCTCCAAATAGTTGGAGTGCTTTCCAATCCCGGTGCGATGACCTGTGTTAATGGCTGAGGTTCTCATTCCTCCCTCCCACGGGGAATCTCATTACCCCTCAGTATGGATGAGAATCTCAGCTTGATTTCTGCTTCTCTGAGGGAAATACAGAAACTGTAGGAGCGTTTCTGGGGACTTCCTCGCAGGGAGGGCATATTTCCATCCTTCCTTTGGGGAAAATGCAGGAAGTCCTTGGTCAACGTGCAGCACTGGGGTGCTATTTGTGAACCAACCATGGCAGTGCATCCTCCCCTGGGGGTGCACTCGTGCAGTTGCACACAGTGTAGGAACTCCGGCCCAAGGGACCGTCTCCCCACAGTCCCATTGCAGCTGTGCCTGTCCCCACCTCACATGTCCTAGAGATGACCACAGCACAGTTCTCTGGAACAGGCACTCTGTCCTGTAGGTGATTTGGAGGCTGCATTGCAACCTCCAATTGCAATTGCACAATGTCATCATGCTAAATTCTGTCCAAGCCACATCCCATATAATTTTCTAGTCCTTGTTG